TATTCACTTATTTATTATCTATTTTGTATATAGGTCTATTTTAGTTATAGTCTATCAGTGATGTGTTCTCCCTTTGATGCACTTTAATAAATGTAAATGTAGATGTAGAAGTAATTGCAATCAATAGACCTCCTCTGCTCGGGCGTAATGTTTTCTCATTTCAGACCACGTGTGATTCCCTTGAAAATAAGATTCTTTGTTTGAGTAAGCGTTAAATAAATAAATGTTACACTAGGGAATGACACGTGGTCTGAAATGGAAAAACATTACGCCCGAGCCGAGGAGGTCTACGAACTGTTAAACCTGATTTATCATTGAATCGAAAATACAAGTAAATTTACACGGTATCACTCACCAACAGTGTCGGTAAACTATAAAGCCCAGAWCAACAAAGAGCAAAAAGAAAAGGACATAAAAAAGGTAGCGCCGAACATTGACAGCATTATCTTGCGGGATAAAGATCGCTAGTGCCGTGGTGGAATTTGCACTTGTGTTGGCAATAACTTGATCTAATCAAACAGAATAATATGAGGATGATGAGTGAACAGTGTCTCATCCCATGGCTACACATCACTCCTGATTCCATACCCTTCTACCCCATTCATGACTTACAAGTGAACAGCTTCCTATCCCATGGCTACCTATCACTTCTGATTCCATACCCTTCTACCCCACCCATGACTTGTAAGTGAACAGTGTCCTATCCCATGGCTACCTATCACTCCTGATTCCACACCCTTCTACCCCACCCATGACTTGTAAGTGAACAGTGTCCTATCCCATGGCTACCTATCACTCCTGATTCCGTACCCTTCTACCCCACCCATGACTTTTAAGTGAACAGTGTCCTATCCCATGGCTACCCATCACTTCTGATGCCATACTCTTCTACCCCACCCATGACTTGCAAGTGAAGTGTCATATCCCATGGCTACCTATCACTTCTGATGCCACACCCTTCTACCCCACCCATGACTTGCAAGTGAAGTGTCATATCCCATGGCTACCTATCACTCCTGATTCCACACCCTTCTACCCCATTCATGACTTACAAGTGAACAGCGTCCTATCYCATGGCTACCTATCACTCCTGATTCCACACCCTTCTACCCCACCAATGGCTTACAAGTGAACAGTGTCTTATCCCATGGCCACCTATCACTCCTGATTCCACACCCTTCTACCCCACCCATGACTTGCAAGTGAACAGCTTCCTATCCCATGGCTACCTATCACTCCTGATTCCTCACCCTTCTACCCCACCCATGACTTACAAGTGAACAGTGTGCTATCCCATGGTTACCTATCACTCCTGATTCCATACCCTTCTACCCAACCATGACTTGCAACAGTGAACAGTGTCCCATCCCATGGCTATACCTATCACTCTCTGGGAGTTCTAGTTCAGTGAAATTTAGATRAAGTTCTACCTGGGATAAGAGCTGCTTTAATAGTGTTGAACGTTCGGTTGACAAAATCATTTAACAGCAATTGAGGTACTTCTGGATCTGTCACTGCAGGATATAAGACACACTTGTACTCACTCTATGGTTATTGGGTAAGAACATTCAGCAAATTATTGATATGATGCAAAGTCGGACATGATAATTGTATTATCTGATGGGCGTTTTTTTGATCCGGTAATTAAGGCTCTTAGGGATGAGTCTAAACTTTGTATGCCGTGCATGATTATGATGTTCAGTTCATCCACACTTTACGATAGAGAGTGAAACGATAGAGTTTGCTTTTTTCAAAAGACGAGATCTATAGAATTTTGGAAAAAACTTTATTCTCTGTTTAGAAACACACACACACACACACACACACACACACACACACACACAAAAACAACCAACTATTGTGTTTTGTTTTCGCAGCCGATGCCTTTACAGATAACTCAGCCTTTGTCTACATAATTTACGATATAAACCTGCTTAACCTTTTCTAATGAATATTGTTCACTATTAGCCTTCGAGGTAGAGACACATTTGCATTCAACATTAGATATGTATGGAAGGAAGAGATTTTTTACGATTGTTTGCGGTGCGTGCATCAGATATCAATCTCCTCCTTACTGTAAGTACTTAATGCTACTAACTCTTAAAGCGCCTATGTTCTTACCGTTGTTAATAAATTCATGCACGACAAAGGTTTGTACTTCGTGGACCAGGAGTTTGACTTGTTCTGCAAAGAAATCAAGTCATGGTAAACTAGAATTGAACAATATATACGGACAGACTGTTAGTGCGCGAATGGCGCGCAAATCAACTATTTCCAGATCAAGTTGGATGCTGGTAATGTGTGATGCTGTTTACCTGACTGGATGCTACTGGGAATGTGTGAAAATATCACGTGGTCTATGACGTATTCTATTCCGAAATAAGACGCAAAAACAAGGCCAATTATTAGTAATACAATCATCTTCAAATTCACGTGTGGAATGTTTCTGTATCTGAGAGATCTGAAGTTTTCGCGCGTTTTTCGTGATGTAATAATCTGGACATGACGTCATGTTCCGAAAATACCAAATATGGTATCTCTTAGAATACTTAACGCGCGCGCGCTTAACGTCACCCTAAGGAAATGCCAAATATGGTAAATGACTACGGTCTTGGAATACCTAATAAGGCGAGCCAGGGATTGATTAGTCTCCCCCACAGCCGCTTTCAGTGTCGTCACGCAACTGAAAGCGGCTGTGGGGGAGACTAGGGATTGATTGATTGATTTAGGAAACTTCTTTACCTTAGTGATTTTCTAGGTCTTATATATGCTACTAACTCTTAAAATATATGGCGAAACTAATAAATAAATAAATATAATTAAACAAGCTTTCTAGTATAACAACATATTACATCACATAAACTGGTCCTATTGAAATTACAGTTGCTTGAGGTATTTAAAGAAACTTGACTTGAACGCTTTGGTGTTCTTGGAATCCCCATCTTTAACGACAACACTGTTCCACCTGACATTGTGATAAACAAGGCGTTGGTCGTTCGTTTTGATTTTTGGCAGAAGTTGGTCTTTGCAATTGCACATTTCGTAATTGGCAAAGCTCCTTCAATGACTTTATGACTTTATTTCAAAATCAGTCACTCTAAGTGAATATGCGCGCACTTACGGTAAAAACAAAACAAAACAAAAAACAAACAAACAAACAAACAAAAACAAAAAACAAAAAACAAAAGGAAAACCAAACGTAAAAAGCGAACATATTTAAAGAGGACAAATAAAAGGCTAATATACTGACAGTGAGATTACGACTCCCAAAACACAAAACACGTTACTGGTTTACGAAGAAAACTTTGCCGCCAAATACAATGGAGACGCTTTTAAAACACGAGATAAATCTGGAAGGTACTATTAGTGAAGAAAAGKTTCTTGAACATTAGCAGAACAYAACTATAAAACAACTGCAAGGTTCAGCCGCACAGCCTTTAAATGAAATGTTATTCCAAAAATATCGTTTATCGAAAATATACATTTTATTCCATGGTTCTATCACCTCATTTAATATTAGTTTAAGCATGTTACATTCGAGCAAGTATTCTACGGTACTTTTGAAGTTTTACTTGCTCGAGTGTATGAAACACGTTTTCATTCACAAGTTTTGCCTTGAATGTTTTACTGATTTGCTAAAGCTGCTGCGTCCGTTCTACTTAATTAAACTCCTCGGCTTTGGTGTAATGTTTTTTTCAGACGTGTCATTCCCTTGATAATTAGATTCTTTGTTGGAGTAGTATCCATATTCATGTGTCTTCTCATGTGCAACCGAGCGCAACCGATAAACAAAGAAATGATACTCTAAGGAATAACACGTGGTCTGTAATGGGACATTACGCCCCAGCCGAGGTCTATCGTCCTTGTTTTACAAGGTTAAGTCTTAGCAGCCAGTGGATAAGAAACCTGTAGCCATCGTTCTATGATTGAAGTTTGCTTTTGCGGAGGGAGAAAAAGCGAAGAAGCCRAAAAAAACATCGATATTTTTTTGTAGCTAAAATTCGACACTTGCCGAATCAGGTCACACTCCCCAAAGAAAAGGCCATGGGGTTTCTGATTTTTCCAGCTCTTGGGAACATGGCTGCCGTCACTTAGTGGTGCAAAACCTCTATTTTCTCAATAATATTGCAATCATTATGACTAGGAAGACGATGACAGTAAATGCCAGTGGAAGTGAAGAATTAACTCCTTTCTCATGTTTAACTACTCTAGTCTTTGTTGAATGCATAACATTGATATCAGCATTCATGATGGCTTCCCTCGCCCCAGGCCAGACTCCAGGCCCTGTTAGACGGTACTGGGGAGGGGTACAAGGGCCGACAAAACATCGCAAAGCAAGGGCTGGGTCTGATAACAACAGATTCAAGAAAGAAGGCTTACATCCCACCTGTTCAGCTAACTCATCGCTGTATGATATGTAATCAACCTGGAGACCACGAAAAGTAACATGTTATAAGACTTTAAAAAAACTTAAGAATCCAAATTTTGCGTGAGTTAGCCATGCCTTAATTTTGATGAGCCCTGAGTATTTCAGGGTATTGATAAAATATAGTTGAAAAGAAAATTCCATTGTAATTTATGAATGTGTAAGACAAAGTTAAATGTCTGGCCAGGGTATTGTGCATCACATTGAATAATCTATTTGGGTAATTTGAAAAACAATTATTTCATAACTAGCTATATGACCAATGTTATTGAGGATGGGAGGGTGTACAGGCAAAAACATTTCTGTCAAAGTTGCTGGTGATGGCATACCCTCTTAAAATAAAGTATGATTGATTGATTTTCTTAGAGGCACATTCACTTTTCCTAAACCTTTGTAGTAACTAGTATTGAGTATTCCATACAGGAAGCCCACCATGGAATTCATTTTCTTGGGATTGTAAAAGTCTCATTTCCAAATATTAATTTCAAAAACATCAATTCAGTTACAGAAGCAAATAGATATGTGATGAATGCCATAATAAAATATCTTCCAGCAAGGGCAGATCCAGGGGACACGACCCCCCTGTCATTCCTGAGGTCAAATGGGCTTCCTGTGTTAAAAATGCGACTGGGATTCCTTTGCCCACAAAATTTACCCCTGAGACCCCCCTTCAAAAAAACCCTTGATCCGCCCTTGTTCCAGTTAGAATTTTTACTTCATAATGAGATTTAATGTGCCAGTATGACACCTAACTCAATATTTTCAGCATTGATAAATGAAGTGAAATACAGTTGAATGGTAAAAAATCTTTATATGTTTTGAGTGATGCATCTTGGAGATATCAAGGTTATACTTCCCCTACGTAAATAAGTGCAATGTCATAGGAGGCATTTGAGTTTTCGTCATTTGTAAACTGAAGCACTGATAACTATGAGAAAATAAATTTACGATAACCTTTCCTACCTTTCTATAAATCTTTAGTATGGCAATGATGTTTTATACATGACATTTTACTTCCCCAGAAAAGTTTTTTGTTTCGTATCATTTAATAGTGCTTCCAATATTATGGTATCACAGAATCAATACTGACAATATTGAGATAGGTGCAAGCTTCGAGGTAAATGTACTAGGTATTTTTACCTGAATAGTATGCCTCCTTGATGTGTAATATCTCTTTCTCATTTCTTCTTTCTTCTTCTTGATGTCATTCATCATGTTACCTTCACTGGGTAGCTTTAGGATTCCTTTGAAGACACGAGTTGCCCAACGACATTGAAGTTCAGCTAAAGGGTTGATGGCCCCACGGGGTTGGAAACACCCTATGACAGCAAGACTCCACTTGGGGAGGTGAGGTGGAAAAATATACTTGTACAGAGTAACATCATTATCATCTACTGGGATGATAGACTTGTCAATAAAGGAAAATCCAACATTATAACCTGTGCAGAAGATGACTGCATCCAAATCAACTGCAGTTTTATCCTCAAAGACTACCCCAGACTTTGTGAAGTGAGCTATATTTGGCTTCACAATAATTGTTCCATTGATGATCCTGTTAGGAAGATCATCATTAACTGTTGGATGTTGCTGTAAAGGAGCATGGTCTGGCTCAAGTCCAAAACACCTATGATCAAACTTCTTGTTTGCCTGTGCTTTTATCAAGTCGCCAACAAAGGATTTGGGCAAGAGTTGAAGTATGCGAYGACTGGCCCAATGGTCAATTGGAACACCACTCTCATGCAATCTTGAAAGCACCCATGATCCTTTTCTGGTACTGAGATACACTTGTGAAGCATGCCGACTTAGTTCTACTGCAATGTCACCACCAGAATTACCAATACCTTATAAAATAACAATATAATGAAACAATTATAATACCATAATAACACTATTCTTTAATCCAAGCTATAATTATCGGCTATCTTTGTCTAGTGCTGAGTTTCAATCAGCTGATCATAAAAGTCAGCACCATGTGCTGTCAGCTACAAAGAATTCTATTAAAAACTTGCAAAGCTAACATAGAAAAGAAATGCCACAGACAAGGGCGGCAGATCCCAGGGAGGGGTCCAAGGGGTCCGCATCCCCACCCCCTTTACAAGTCGTTATTTTCCCCTTGTTTAACTCATGGATACGCGAAGCGTTGAAACGAGTTGATTGTACATGAGGGGTCCTGGATCTGCCCTTGCACAAATTCCATCGAGAAAAGTCTGATTTGTTTTGTTTTCATTCAGTTCAGTTGATATAAACATTCTGCACAAGAAAGAAAGTGACGTCAAGTACAATCGAGCAATAGTGATAACGCTGACCACCTCTAACATCTTAAGGAAGACCCTTAAAATCCAAATTTCCCTCCCCAGAGATATCTTTAGTAATCCAGATCCAGGATGTTTTTGAGGGAGGTATAAAAGGCATAAAAGACATAAGAGTCATGACTTTCACTAGACTTGAAGTTCTGAAAGGCCCATTGGCCCTCTTGTTCAGTCGTTTCATACAAGGCTCGTAATTTACCTATTACGCATGTTCTTAGAGATATTTTTAATACATTAATTATCACATTTTGAGAATAATTTTCAAAACAAGTATAGAAGAAAACCATTAAAAACTTACCTACGATCAAAACTTTTTTGTCCTCAAAGCGTCTGAAATCCTTGTAAGCATGACTGTGGATTTTAATGCCATTAAATTCATCCATTCCTCGAAAGGATGGCCAGTGTGGACTGGAATGGTGTCCAATGCATACCATAACAGCATTGTATACTTCCGTCTTGACTACATTAGCTTCTGCACCGATAAGACTTACATAACACACTTCCCAGTTTCCCGTGTCGTCGTAGTCTCCAGCCCTTCGTATATCTTTAACTTTTGTTTGATATCGAATGTACTTGTACAAATCAAAGTGTTTGGCGTAAAGATGGAAGTATTCCATAACCTTTGTATTGTGCATAAAAGGGGCAAAGTCGTGAGGAATCGGGAAATCAGAGAAGCACATCATCTCTTTGCTTGTGTTGATGACTGTAGAACGATAGACTGAGCTGTGTCGTTCTTCTTCAGTGAAATTCCACAGTCCACCGATAGTGTCTTCTTGCTCGAAGCAAACTGGTTCAATGCTTTCATCGATACACGATTTCATGGCAACAAGTCCAGAAGCACCTGATCCAATGACTGCTACCTTCATG